GTTGAAGTCCGCGAGTCATGAAGGGGCCCTAGTTCCCCCATGCTGGCTGAGGAATTCTGGGAGTTGAAGTCCACGAGTCATGAAGGGACCATAGTTCCCCCATGCTGGCTGAGGAATTCTGGGAGTTGAAGTCCATGAGTCATGAAGGGGCCCTAGTTCCCCCATGCTGGCTCAGGAATTCTGGGAGTTGAAGTCCATGAGTCATGAAGGGGCCATAGTTCCCCCATGCTGGCTGAGGAATTCTGGGAGTTGAAGTCCCCAAGTCATGAAGGGGCCATAGTTCCCCCATGTTGGCTGAGGAATTCTGGGAGTTGAAGTCCACGAGTCATAAAAGAGCCAAGGTTGCCTACCCCTGACTTAGACGATCCTTCTGCTCTCTTCCAACTCTATTATTCATGGCTGGCTGGGGAATTCTGGGAGTTGAATTCCACGGCTGTTAAAAGTAGCCACTGAACTGTTAAAAGTAGACACTGAACTTAGCCGATCCTTCTGCTCTCTTCCAACTCTATCATTCATGGCCAGCTGGGGGATTCTGGGAGTGGAACCATCAGCTCCTACTTGGAGGAGACATGGGGCATAAGCACCATGACCCAAGGTCTCCTCTTGGTAGGAACTTTGGAAATGGAGCTGGGGTGGGTTGGCTAGCTGGAGAAGGTCCGAGTTGATGGGACTCCATTCCCAACGTTGACGGAGATCTTGCTTTTTTGCCTTGCAGAGGACTCCGATTATGAGGACCCCCCGTTTGAGGAGGAGAGGGAAACTTTTATGGAAGAGATGACTGACAAGGTGTGTCTGTAAGTCTCTGGCGAAATGTGGGTCTGTTGCTTGGAGAAGAAGACGGAGGTCCATTTCACTCCCCCTGTTCCTGACGTAGAGATGAAGAAGAAGGTTCTGTGGATCGCCCCTCTCAGGGCCCATGGGGAAAGCTTCCAACATTGGCTGTCCAGAGACCCCTCCCCAGATTGACCAGGACCTTCTCCCAAAGCCCTCACCCTCTGCAGACCCACCATGACCAGCCAGGGGTCCAAAGCTGGGGTGACTGGCTTACAAGCATCAGGGTTAGGATAACAGTAGTCCAGGTTGACCCTGGTTTAGGATGACCCTGGTTTAGGATAACACTGGTTTACGATGTCACTGGTATAGGATGACCCTGGTCTAGGATAAAACTGGTCTAGGATGACCCTGGTTTAGGATAACACTGGTTTACGATGTTGCTGATCTAGGATGACACTGTTCCAGGATAACACTGGTCTAGGATGACACTGAATGACCCCGGTCTAGGATAACACTGGTTTATGATGATGCTGGTCTACGATGACACTGATCCAGATAACATTGGTCGAGGATGACACTGGTTTAGAATGAACCTGGTCTAGGATAACGCTGGTTTACGATGATGCTGTCTAGGATGATTATAGTTTAGGATAAAACAGCCACTCATTTCTATCCTGAAACACGAAGACACTCGGCACCTTGAACAAAGGCTGCAAGATAGCAATAGCAGTAGCAAGAGCCCTTCGACTTATATAGCGCTTCACAGTGCTTTACAGCCCCCTCTAAGCGGTTTACAAATGTCAGCGTATCACCCCCAACCATCTGGGTCCTCATTTTACCCACCTCAGAAGGATGGTTGAAGGCTGAGGCGACCTTGAGCCTGGTCAGGATTGAACTCCTGGCAGTCGGCAGAATTAGCCTGCAATTCTGCATTCTAACCACTGCACCACCATGGATGGATGGATGAAGATGGATGGATGGATGGATGGATGGATGGATGAAGATGGATGGATGGAGATAGGAGAGATAGATAAATGGATGGATGGATGAAGATGGATGAAGATGGATGGATGGAGATAGGATGGATAGATAGATAGATAGATAGATAGATAGATAGATAGATAGATAGAGATAGATAGATAGATAGATAGATAGAGAGATAGAGAGATAGATAGATAGATAGATAGATAGATAGATAGATAGATAGATAGATAGATAGATAGATAGATAGATAGATGGATGATGGATGGATGGAGATAGGATAGATAGATAAATGGATGGATGAAAGATGGATAGATGGATGAAGATGGATGGATGGAGATAGGATGGATAGATAGATAGATAGATAGATAGATAGATAGATAGATAGATAGATAGATAGATAGATANTCTCTCTCTCTCTCTCTCTCTCTCTCTCTCTCTCTCTCTCTCTCTCTCTCTCTCTCTCTCTCTCTCTATCTATCTATCTATCTATCTATCTATCTATCTATCTATCTATCTTATCTATCCATCCATCCATCTATCATTTATCTATCCATCTGTCATATCTATCTATCCATCCATCCATCCTGTCTATCATATGTATTTTATCTATGTCATAGAATCCTAGGGTGGAAGGGACCTTGGAGGTCATCCAGTCCAACCCCCCCCACCCAAGACAGGAGACCTCATTGCATCCCAGGCAAATGGCTGCCCAATCTATTCTCGCAAATGTCCAGGGATGGAACACCTACAACTCCAGGAGACAAGCTAATTGGGTACTCCGTCCTCCGGCCGACTGGCCTGGAGGAGTCCAAACTAGCATTTTCCTATTGTTTGTAAAATAGGTGTAATTTGAGTGCAGGGACCAGACCCCAGTCCACAAATCCGCCATGTTTTTTTGAGGCAGCCTCCTTGCAGGACATACAGCTGGGGATAAGGCTCCCTCGCTGATTTTGCTTGTCAGAAGGTCGCCAAAGCGGGACCCTGCAACTGTCATAAGTACTAGTCAGTTGCCAAGCGTCTGAATTTCGATCACGTGATCACGGGGATGCCGCGACGGTCGTAAGTGTGGAAAGACAATCCAAAGTTATTTTTCAATGCCATTGTAACCAGGGCTGCCTGTAGTAGTAGTAGTAGTAGTAGTAGTAGTAGTAGTAGTAGTAATAATAAATAATAAATAATAATAATAATAATAATAATAATAATAATAATAATAATAATAATAATAATAATAATAATAATAATAATAATAGTAAAGTTGGAAGGGACCTTGGAGGTCATCTAGGCAGGAAACCCTATACCATTTCAGACAAATGGCTGTCCAGTCTCTTCTTGAAAACTTCCAGTAATGGAGAAGGAAGGAAGGGAAGGAAGGAAGGAAGGAAGGAAGGAAGGAAGGAAGGAAGGAAGGAAGGAAAGCAGAATAGCAGAATAACAGAGTTGGAAGGGACCTTGGAGGTCATCTAGTCCAACCCCCTGCTCAGGCAGGAAACCCTATACCATTTCAGACAAATGGCTGTCCAGTCTCTTCTTAAAAACCTCCAGTGATGGGGAAGGAAGGAAGGAAGGAAAGCAGAATAGCAGAATAACAGAGTTGGAAGGGACCTTGGAGGTCATCTAGTCCAACCCCCTGCTCAGGCAGGAAACCCTATACCATTTCAGACAAATGGCTGTCCAGTCTCTTCTTAAAAACTTCCAGTAATGGAGAAGGAAGGAAGGGAAGGAAGGAAGGAAGGAAGGAAGGAAAGTAGAATAGCAGAATAACAGAGTTGGAAGCGACCTTGGAGGCCATCTAGTCCAACCCCCTGCTCAGGCAGGAAACCCTATACCATTTGAGACAAATGGCTGTCCAGTCTCTTCTTAAAAACCTCCAGTGATGGGAAGGAAGGAAGAAAGAAAGGAAGGAAGGAAGGAAGGAAGGAAGGAAGGCAGAATAGCAAAATAGCAGAATAGCAGAATAACAGAGTTGGAAGGGACCCTGGAGGTCATCTAGTCCAACCCCCTGCTCAGGCAGGAAACCCTATACCATTTCGGACAAAATGGCTGTCCAGTCTACTTGTCCACCTTTGCGAGACTTTTAGGAAGACTTCCTTTGCGAGAACGTGGGCAGAGCCGGACCCCACCCTCTCCGCCCGGGGCCAGGGTCTCAGGTGTTGAAAACCTTCTGTTTTTGTGTTGTTTTTTTCCACCTGCAGAAGGCCACCCCGGAGAGGCGGCGCTCGGCCCGGTTCAACAGCCTGTTCAGCGAAGACGAGCTGGTTGAAGATTACTTCAAGGAGGAATCGGTCCCTAAGTGAGAATCGCGCCCTCCTTCGGCTGCTTTGGGGTTCTGGGGGGTGGGGGAGATTCCTGCTGGGATGTTGCCGGGCGAGCGGCTGCCTCAGTTATGCCGATTCTGGGATTTTAGACGATCAATGAAAGGCACGATGGCTCAGTGGTTAAAGACGCTGAGCGCGTCCGGTGGAGAGCTGACACCCCGGGGTTCAAGACCTGAGCGCTTCCTGGTGGGGTGAGCTCCTGTCCTTGCTTCAGCTAGCAGATTTACAGAATAACAGAGTTCGAAGGGAACTTGGAGGTCATCTAGTCCAACCCCCCCCTACCCAAGCAGGCGTCCCTACACCGTTTCTGACAGAGGGCAGTGATGAAGCTCCCACAACTTCTGAAGGCAGCTCCTGTTCCCCTGGTTGATTGTCGTCCTCCCTGTCAGGAAATCTCTCCTTATTTCTAAGTTGAATCGCTCCTTGATCCGTGTTGTTATTTCTTTGGATAAAGGAATGGTTTAGATTAGAAGAAACTCTTGGTAAACCCACGGTGTAGCCTCTGTTTCCAAAAACACTTAGGAGATGCCTAAGGAGGTGGATTTGTGCCCTGTGAAAATTCAGGAATACATCACATTAGTATTTCTCAGCCTTAGCGGCTTTAAGGTGGGTGGGCTTCCACTCCCAGAATCCCCCAGCCGGCCTGCTTTAAGAGGGATGGACTTCAACTCCCAGAATCCCCCAGCCAGCATGCTTTAAGAGGGATGGACTTCCACTCCCAGAATCCCCCAGCCGGCCTGCTTTAAGAGGGATGGACTTCAACTCCCAGAATCCCCCAGCCGGCATGCTTTAAGAGGGGTGGACTTCAACTCCCAGAATCCCCCAGCCGGCCTGCTTTAAGAGGGATGGACTTCCACTCCCAGAATCCCCCAGCCAGCATGCTTTAAGAGGGGTGGACTTCCACTCCCAGAATCCCCCAGCCGGCCTGCTTTAAGAGGGATGGACTTCAACTCCCAGAATCCCCCAGCCAGCCTGCTTTAAGATGGGGGGGACTTCAACTCCCAGAAGTCTATGTGTGTTACATTTCTATCTCGCCAGGAACTTCAAGCCCGTATGCTTAATACAAGAAATCCTCATTTAGTGACTGCCTCATTTAGCAACAGTGACGTCAATGTCTGCTCTGCTAACATTTGCAGGTCATCCGATCATAAGCACCGTCATCGTCTCACTTAGCAACCACTTTGCTTAGCAATGTCTGAGCAGTGGTCACTAAGCGAGGACTAGTTGCATTCCTTCGTCCCCCCCCCAAACCTGCCCACCCTCTGGGGCTGGGGGTGGGCTTGAACCTCTCCCTTACCTGCCTTCCAGGACCTCAGATCTGCTTCAGGCAGGTGGTGCAAATAAATCACCTTTGCTGCTCTGTTGGCTTTTAGGAATGTGCTGGATTTAATGCTCCTTTGCTTTTATAATGTGGGTTGGTAAATCAGGGCCTCCAACCCTCCCCGGAACCTCCCTCTTTCTTAAAGGCGCCTCCGAGACAGCCGGGGTGGAAGGAGAGCAGAGAGGAGGAGGAGGAGGAGGAGGAATTGTGGGGTCCATGATGCTCTCTGAGTTTGGCTGTTTTGACCTTTCATGACCAAACTACAGAAGAGCATCAGTGCTAGAAGGGTGGGGAGTTGCAGAGAGGAGGAGGAGGAGGAGGAGGAGGAGGAGGAGGAGGAGGA